GGGGGGGTACTAAGAGGAACTTGAATTAGATTCTATGAGTCTTCTGTATTTTTAACCACCTAACTTTTCTTAAGGCCACCAAACACTTCTTTATTTTATTTTTAATTTTCTAAATAACCAAGAAATCCCGAGCAATGGCGCAAGGTTCAAAACTCAACAGATAATGGGCCCGCCCGTCTTGCCTTCTCCACTTAAGTATCAATTTTATATGATTTGAGTTTCTACTGTTTTTTTAAATTGATGAATCCTTCACACTAAATGGTTTCTCCTATGTGAATTTTGGTTTATCAAATCAGTTGGGCTTATTTCACGTTGAGTACTGCTTAAGTGCATTTAGTTTGCTATTCTTTGCACCGGTGTTCAAAACCATTTATTGACATGTAGCACAGTCAGTTTACTTTTGGTTTGTTGCCTAAAAGTATCATGCTAATCTGAGAAAGTGTGAATTGATTCAGACTGTTTCGTTCCATGTATAAATTTTGTAAGTAAAAATATGTCATATTTCTTAGATTTCAAATATCTGGGATTAGATAAATTAATAACACTAATCAGGGTGATTACATGTTAAAGTACCTCATATTGTAATAATTGTGCGCGTACATGTTGTGTCATATGTGTTAAGCAATGGCATGTGTGATTCCTTGGAATTGAATATGTTCTGTAAATTGAGTAAATAATATACACTGAAGTGTCCTATTCAGATTGATTTATGAAACTTGTTCACTCAGTTAAGGGGTATCACTGGATTATAACATACAATAGGCTGCCCAAAGGGGGTTTATTATGTGTTTAAATTTGGTGTTTTTGATGAGGCCTGTTATATGAGAATATTTATATTTAGTAAATTTGTTCTGTCCGCCTAAAGGTGTTCTAATATTGAAATATTTTCTTGCCGTGGCCAAAGGGGATGAGTTTCTAAAATTGAATATTTTTTCGCCTTGCTCAAAAGAGGGCGGTCTATTTATGCTGTTAGACTCATTGTTGTGATAATATCATTATTCTTTTACCTTGTTATTCTGATAAAATCCCATTCATGTTATGGCAATTACTATTACTTTGAACAACAACAATGCTGAAGTTGTGGTCCTGTCAAGGTCCAACTTTAAGAGATGGAAGGAGTATCTTGAATTTGCTTTAGGCATGGTTGATATAAATCAAGTTTTGCATAAAAATAAGCCACCACCTCTCAATAACTCTAGCACAACTGCTGAAAGAGATAATTATACAATGCGAGAAAGATCTAATAGGCTATGCATCCTCTCCTTTGGAGGGTCAATTGCTGAACATGTCAAGAGGGGCTTACCTATACCGCTTATGCTAAGAAATTTCTTGCCCAAGTGGAATACCTTGTATCCAATAAGGCCGAGACCAGAGATCTAATGAGTAAACTTGCGGGATGAAGTATGATAACACTGAAGGGGTTAGAGATTATATACTTAAGGTGGTTCACTTGCCGTTTAAACTAAAAACTCTAAACATAGTTTTGTTCACTCTACTCTCAACTCCTTGCCTGTTGTGTTTAGCTAGATGAAAACTGCCCATAATATGATAATACTCAAAAGGAGTCTTGGTTGATTAATGACCTCATCTCAATATGTGTTGTAGAAAAGAAGAAAATTAGAAAAGATAAGGGTGAGATTGCCTTACTTGTTTCCAATGAATCGAAAGCAAGCTCTAGTAAGGAACCTAGGATATTTCAAAGGTCTAATCATCAAACTTTTAAGAAAGGTCAAAACATTTTACATGTCGTTTGGTGTTTTGATCTTTGTTAGAAGTATGATGACTAGACCATTGAAACTTATTAAGTTATTAGAGCTTGCTTTGGAATCATGGGAAACAAGGAAGATAGTCTCGCCCATCTCTATTTTTAATTTTTTTCCTCTTTAACAACACATTTTGAGATGAGGTCATTAATTTTCCGAGTCTCATATTGGGTGTTATAGGTTGTTTAATCTGACTAAACTCAGCAAGCAAGGAGTTAAGAGCAATGGGAACAATATAAACATTAGGAAGAACTATGTCTAGAGCTTCCAGCTTAGACTGAATATGAACCATCTTACGTATAACCTTTAACCCCTTTAGTGTTATCGTACTTCGTTCGCACATATTTTACTCATTGGATATCCGGTCTCGGCCTTATTGGATACAAGCTATCTTTGTTCCAGTTAGGCAAGAAATTTCTTAGCATTGGCGGTATTAGGCAAGCTATTCTTGAGATGTTCAGCAACTGACCTTTTAAATGTTTAGCCTATTAAATCTCTCCCACTTAGCATAATTATCTCTTTCAGTAGTTGTGCTAGAGGTGGTTGCTCATTTTTCACGCCAAGCTTGATCTATATCGGCCATGCCTAAAGTATATTCAGGATCGTCTTTCCATCTCTTAAAGTTAGAAGTTAGGCCCCGTCCTCAACTTTAGCATTGTTGTTCAAAGTGATGGGGTAACTGTAGATAACACCATATGAATAAGATTTATCAGAACAGCACGACATTTGTTGGCATAAGAATAATGATATTATAACAACAATGAGTCCAAGCGCATCAACAGGTCGACCCCCTCTGGGAATGACAAAAAAATATTCCTATATTGAAGAAATTCAATTTATCTTCTTATGGAACCTAATTTTATTACAACATTATGATTATTCACTTCTGTAGAGTTTTGATATGAACTAAACTTTTTACAATATAAATGGAACACCAGCCAGGGGCGGGTATCGGCTCAATTTTCTCTGTTACACACATAATATTTGTATGTGTAGAACGAATATCTGCAAAAAACTGAAAACCACACACACATACCAGTGTTGTCAAAGGTGAAAAGCTGTAAAAAAGGCTCTAGGTCTATTGGAGCTTTAAGCGCAAATTGCAATTTAAGTGTGGGCTTTAGTACAAAAGGCTCAATACAGGAAAATCAAAAAATATATATGTAATTAAAAAAAGAAGTAACAAATTCATTCATAATGTTTTCCTTAACAATTAATACACTTATTTGCTGATTATATTCATTGTTTAGTACCGCTCGATTCAAGATAGAACTCATGGACAACGAGTGAAGCGTAGCTTTAAGCGAGGCAAAGCGCCCTCCCCGAGCTTTTCTGAACTTCAGGGCTTAAGCGCGCCTTAAATGAGCCTTTGACAACACTGACACATACTCGCACCTATAGGTAGTGAATATTTCCTGAAGCCTTTAACCACAGAGTGTTGTGACCACGGTCAGCTACCTAGCTGTGATTTGTGATGCTGTTTGATATGATTGAATTTCCCCCAAATATATGGACGACAGAAGTTTGATATCAATTTGCAATGTATCAGCAAATATAAAACACCAGCTGCTGTGCATTCTCATTATAAAGTTGTTATGATAGACTCCCATGCGGCACTCCATGCAAAAGCTGTCCACCTTTTCGAGTTTTGCTAGGCTAAACAGCTTTGGAAGGGAACAATCTCCTCCCTTTTTAGTAGTTTTGTGTAAAAGGTTTTAACAGAAAAATTACCTCCTGGGTGTGATGTAAAATAGTTCTTAAGAATTTTATACTTTGCAGCATTCTTAGAGCACAATAGAAACATATCGCACTTGGATTACTAGCAAAGATCAATAAAGCACGTGCATGAATAGCTTTATAATTGGCAATTAGTAAATACATAATTATCTGCTGAAGCACCTGCTCTGCTGCTGTACGGGAAGGTGCTTAAGCTTGGAAGTCAATGGTAGTAGTTATCATTGGGAGGCTGAAAGGTGGTGACTTATTGGGATTACGTATTTCAACTGGCTTTACTTGTTTCTAAAGTCATTAAGTGTATGTTTGGTAGCTACTGCACTTTAAGGGGTAATCCTTATTTCTAGAGGACGTTAAAGTGATGCATGGTGGCTGGTTAGTATTCAACGTGATTATAAATGATGGGACCATGATGGAGTACTATGTTTTCCTTTTCATTTTTTCATTGCTACAGGGTTATGATTTTATTTGTAAATACGCTTAGTGCTTTTGTTTTCTTTACAAGAATATTTTTTTTCATTCTCAAAAAAATATTATAAATAAACTAAGTGAACCACTGATATTTGGTACCAAGATTAGCTCCACCCATCAATAGGTTGTATCAAAATTAGTAACTAAAAATAGTGGGAAGTTTAGAGATGGTGGAAAAAGAAGATAGAAGCACATAGATGTGATGATAGGTGGTGGTAAAGTGGACGAGGTAGCTCTACAGTCACATATAGGGAAGTCACAAAACACATGCAATCTTTTTGAAGTAATTACGTAATCGGCAGAAGTGAAGGATCTATATAGGCGATACCAACTAATGGTGCGTAAGGTTTAATTATGGTTATACGTCTAACTTGCATTAGGTCTAGTGTTTGTTTGGAGTCCTTATAGTCTTGTTAGAGACTTTATGCCAGTGTAGGATAAGTGTAGAATTTAGAAGAACCTCTAGTTTTACAACAATTTTTTTTTTATTTAATTTTGCTTATAAAGGACTAACTACCTTATAAAAAAAAATTTGCTTATAAAGGACTAATTATTTAGTATTGGAATGACATATACTTGAATATAGGAACAGTTAGAAAGAATTTGTATTTCTAAGTTAGGGGTGGCAAATGGGCGGGTCGGGTCCAGACGGATATGGGACGGGTCGAAAGCGGGTAATGAAAAAACGGATAAATTATCCTACCCGATCCATATTTAATATGGATAAAAAACGGGTTAACAGGCGGATAATATGGGTAACCGTATTCTTGACTTCTTCAATATGATCACTTTTGGGAGAATTCCTAATCTCCCAAACTTAAGGAACCCCCAATTTGAGGCTTTACAAATGTAAAAGTTAAACCCAGGAAAATAGATAATATGGTTCTTATCCATATTTGACCCGTTTTAAAAAAGTTCATTATCCAACTCATTTTTTAGTGGATAATATGGGTGGTTAACTGTTTACTTTTAACCATTTTGCCACCACTAATCTGAGCTAACTAAATTGTGAGTGAGGCATAATTGAATGATCTGGGATGGGTGAGGGGTGGTGAACGGGAGTAGATTTGGGCTGCGGGACAGAGTGAAGGGAAGACTTTTCTGGTGGTAGTCGTGGGAGTTTCCCAGATTTGAGGGAACTGGACGGGGTTGTGAAATCTGAATCGGGCAGGATGAGTTAGTTGGACCCTGGGGTGCAGGGAGGAAAGAGTGCTTTGCCCTTGTGTAGTTAGTATGCGAGGTGTGGAAAAAAATCAGTACGAAAGGGCCAAACATATCTTTTTGCAAGTTTTTCCGAAGGGATACAGGCAAACCACAATCTAACCAACTTCCTCCGCAAACAAACAATTTTACACAATAGGTAGTCGTCAATCTATAAAACACAACCAAACGGCGGATGAGTTTTATACACTCTTGCTGGAAGTCGGATATCGGCGTATTTTGTTGTTTGCATGGCTATCCCAAGTATTCATGTTGTAGGACTGCAAACCCTGCATGTGAAGCATTGCTGGGGTTTTCACCTTTCCGTTCCTTTGTGATGAAGGCATGAAGCAAACCAACAGCTTCTGCGACAAGAATGATGGATCCACCTCAAAATTACAGGAGACAGAGAGAAACAGAAGGAGCAAGCGATATGGAGAAAGAGGGGATTTAAGTGTTGCGGTGACATCTGTCTGTTTCTTGCTCATCTGGGTGTAGTAGCATTAATCTATTTCTGCCTTGGGAAGAGACGTCCTTTTTCTTAATGCCAATTGAGGCTTGGAAGGAACATAGATGGTGCACAAATTTTGAAAATAATTAGTAATTACTGCAGCGTTAATTATGTCTACTATTCTGTGTGATCAATTTATGCTTTAGACCTTTCGATGATATTTTAACTTCTAGTGTATCCCCTCCCCCCCAAACCAGGGCTAAAAAAAGGATACTAACTTTAAGGTATCGATTTGACAATGTGCAGGGGCACTGTTATTTTTCGCTCTGCTGGGCCTATCTGGTTGCTTCATAACCTGTTATGATCGAAGAGTGCGCAATGATTTGGCTCAGCCCTGCCGCGAGTTGTGCCTATGTTGCTGTCATCCTGGGTACACAATCTTGACTCTTGTTATTAGTAGTAAGCTTAACACTTCACTCTTCTTCCTTGTTTCTCTTGTCCGTCAATCCAAGAAACAAGTAATGAAGGTTAATCCATGCAGAATACTTTTATCTTAACGTCACTTTTGCACTCTTGATAGACTGCAATGTATTCATAAGAAATTAAGCATCGTACATAAAGCAGTGCTTGTTTAGTTTTCTGGATATGAATTAGAAGGTCTTAGCCTCTCCGTTGCTCTCTTAGGAAAGAATATTTGCAGTCATCCTGAAAATTTGCTGCTTTGTTCGGATCTCTATCATTCACTGGTATACATGCTTGTAGTGTGAAACTCCTTTAGATTGTCTGTTGCGTTTGGAAAACTTATGGAGAGATTACAAGGAATTATAAAGCTCCTTTCGATGGATTGTCTGTTGTCATTTAATAATGTTTATTACTTGTTGATGATCTGTTATCTACTGCATTATTATCTTGTACAAAATAACAAAAGTAGTGCAAGAATTGTTGCGCTCTGATCTCTTTCTTGTGATGCTACTTCTTGAGGAAGGAATTACTATTGTTCTCTGTTTTTGATTACTGGTGCGCCATTCTTATGATGCCCTCGCAGAATGTGTGCCGACTGTCATTTGCCTGGAACACTTTGTATGTGGACTGATTGCACAACCTGCTTTGAGGGTTGTGCTGGTGCCGCCAGTGAATGTGGAGGTTGCTTAGGAGGTGCGGGTGAAGCTGGGTTGCCACTGATATTTATAATGGCTTTAATTGTGCTAGGACTATTTACTGTCATCGGCATATTTTACAGTGTTTTGGTTGCTACAATGGTTGGACAGAGAATATGGCAGAGGCACTACCATATACTTGCAAAAAGAATGCTGACGAAGGTGAGTTAGACCCTATTCTTTGTTTCTTTTATCTGCTCTAATCTCATTCATCGTCAGGTAGATACAATAAATCCTTGCGAACGCGGAACCAGTCATAACTGGCTGCATGATGAGTACTACAATTCTTAAGATGTTTATCAGCAGCTATCTAACGATATGGTTCTTGCTCGTTTGAAGGAATATGTTGTGGAGGATGTCGATGGTGAGGTAAATGGAAGCGATTGGTCTCCGCCACCTCTGCCACCGGAGCATGTTCAACAGCTGAAGTCACTTGGACTTCTGTAAACTTTGAGGATTGTGACATAAATGAAAAACTTTCCATATTATTGGGGCTCACATCATGTGCTTTAGTATACGCAGTTAGATCTGCAAAAGAGTCTTCTTCCTGACTGATAGAAAATCCGATTCAACCCGATATTGTTCAATTATGTTCATAATTTGAGACTGATCACATGTAATTGTTGACAAAACGGATCGTTAACAATCTAAATGAAGTAACAGCTGCAATCTTGGTTTATAAGTTTTTTTCAATCAGCTCCTTGTAGTAAGTTATCTATTGATATTTATTTGCTGTTTCTAAAAGGGGTTGTATTTTGGCTGGAAATGTTTCTCCCTTTCTAAGTTTTACTAATGGTTCTAATTAGGGGTGTCAAAATGGTTAAAAGAAAACAGTTATTCACTCATATTATTCATTAAGAAATGGATTGGATAATAAACTTTTTAAAAACAGGTTACATATGGGTAAGAATCATATTATCCACTTAGAAAATGGATAATTAATGGATAACTAATGAGTTTTGACTTTTACATTTGTAAAGTCTCAAATTGAGGGTTTCTCGAGTTTGGGAGATTAGGAATTCTCCCAAAAGTTTTCAAATTCAAGAAGTTCTGTCGGTTAGTCCGTTTTTATTCGTGTTAAATATGGGTCGGGTCGGATAACTTATTTATTTTGCATTACCTCTTTTCGATATGTCAATATCCGACCGGAGCCGCTGATTTGCTACTCTAGTTCTAATGATATAACTGCTTCACTTAATAATATCAGTTAGCTGATTGGCTTGTTTGTCAAATCTTGAACTTTGTAGTAGTTGCAGGGGTCCTTCTAGATATCACTTTTGCTAAATTCTGAACAAACCATGTGGTCTCCCCCATGTGCACTTTGCATAGATGGAAACATGTGGAGTGTCCTTTATAACGTATTTCAAAAAAAGAGAACTGAATATCTGCTTGTTGATTGATAAGAAATTAGTATTGCCTCATCTGTCTAATCTACCAACTATGAAGCCAAACTTGGTTATACTGAATTTGTGTAGCATATACTCAAGCTTTATCCATCTTCCAAACTCAACCAGTCGATCAGTTGCGTTTCAATTACAATCTTGTTGTGAATTATAAGAGTTTCTGTGTCCAACTATATTCAGGAGGAAAATTTACGCGGCACATCAAAACCCTTACACACAATATATATGTAGCTATATTTAATTTTATAGCAAATCCATAAAATAAAAGATTAATTGTTTTGAACTGAAACAAGAAAGTAACAAGCTCTCGCAGTTAGTTGGTTAAAGGGTCCGCTTAGTTATCGCAACGAATACAGTCGATACAGGTTGTATCCTTTATACACACACCCCTATATACAGTCGATACAAGTTGTATCCTTTGTACACACCCCTGTATATAGTCGATACAATTTGTATCCTTTGTATATACATTTGTATTTTGTCTTGGTTATTGTTGATACATGTTGTATTCATTGTGTGAATAAATACAATTGCACGAACGAATACAGTTGATACAGGTTGTATTTGTTGCATGAACGAATACAGTTGACACATGTTGTATTCGTTGCGCGTTTGAATACAAGTGATACAAGCTAGTAACAATTGAACATTAGGTACGAATAGTAATTAGATAAACTATAATTACTAGGCTCTAAACTATAGTGTTTTATGAAAATTCATCTGTTCAGGAGGGAAATGTTTTGAGCACACTTAATGAAATGAAGTTATACCACAATATGGGCATGTGCAGCGCAATTTAGTTGGGCTAGCGCGTTATAAATAATGAATGATTATAAAAAAAAATGTAAGAAAACAAATTATGAAAATGATAAGTTAGAAGCATTTACTTATTGCATTATGATTCCTATAAAAACAAGTGATATAACAAAGTATTAGGTATCCAAAGGAAGCTTATAACTTCAGAATAAGTGCAGAGCAGGTTAGGAAAGTTTGCCAAAAATGTAACAAGTGTGCTGGAGCTGATGTTCTTTCTACGTGTACAAGTTGTTTTATATCAAACTTGAAACATCAGCTGACCAAAAGCATTAAAGGCCTCCACGTTTAGCCAATTTGTGAATCCATTTTCTTAGGTAACTTCTCTTAAAAGAGAAATTTTAAAATTTTTAACTAATAAATGTTTATCATTGTTGAAGGACATATTAAAATACGAGAAAATACAAGACATGAAAACTTTACTATACAAATATTTTCAAAGATTGTTGACAATGGCAGTGAATGCAAAGTTGCTTCGTTAATCATGTTAACAAGCCTCTTTTCTTCTGAGAAAATATGGAAAGCATTCCCTCCTCTATTAATAGTCAGCTGAATCAGGGGCGGAGCTACGTGGGCGGGTTCAACCGAACCTTCTTCGCTGGAAATTACATTAAGGTTAATTTTTTCCTTCATCTATATATTAGATGTTGAATCCCCTTAATTTTTTTGCGTAATTACTTTTTTATTTTTTGAATCCTCTCGGTAAAGTTCCTGCTTCCGTCACTGAGCAGAATAGTAGAATACTTGGAGTGTAAGTTCAGCGGCGAGACTCAAGGAGGGGAAGGGGAAGTGAGGTTGGACTCGCAGGTCATTCCTAGGAGAGGGAGTTTTAAGTACCTTGGGTCTATTATTCTGGGGGATGGGGAGATTGATGAAGATGTCACACATCGTATTGGGGCGGGATGGATGAAATGGAGACTCGCTTTCGGTGTTTTGTGTGACAATAAGGTGCCACCGAAACTTAAGGGTAAGTTCTACAGAGTGGCGGTCAGGCCAACGATATTGTATACTTATATGGGGCTGAGTGTTTGCCAGTCAAGATCGCTCATGTCCAGAATATGAAGATAGCAGAGATGAGAATGTTGAGATAGATGTGCGGTCACACCAGGTTAGATAGGATCAGAAATGAGGTTATTCGCGACAAGGTGGGTGTTGCCCCTATTGAGGACAAGATGCGGGAAGCACAGACGCCCCAGTGAGGAGATGTGAGAGGTTGACATTGAAGGGCCTACGGAGAGGTAGAGATATGCCAAAGAAGAGGTGGGGAGAGGTGATTAGGCAAGACATGATGCAACTTCAGCTGACCAAGGACATGACCCTTGATAGGAAGGTATGGACGTCGAGGATTACGGTAGTAGAGTAGGTAGTCTAGAGTATTCATAACAGTAGTATTGGCAATCTTGCTTTCTGTTGGTAGTAGGTTTTTATGACTAACCGTTGTTTCTTTCATTGTTGATCACATTGCTGTCTTATTATTTTATTCTGTTTTATATGACTTTTTGGTACTATCCCTCCTTATTTATATTTTCATTAATGTGGTGCTTATGCTTTCTTGAGTCGAAGGTCTATTGGAAACAACCTCTTTATCCTCACAAGGTAGGGGTAAGGTCTGCGTACACACTACCCTCCCCAAATCTCACGGTGTAAAATAATACTAGGTATATTGTTGTTGTATTTATGGTATATAAGTGCGAGTAGCATTATTTTTTGATATTGTTCTAGTAATGAAGGACTTTTATAGGGAGAAAAGCTTCATGTGGAGTTCTGAATAGTTAATGCTTTGCTGTTTCCTTCTCAATCACTGAAATGAAGCTTTTTTGTTTTTTGAAATTCTTTCGAGAAATGAAGAAAATATTACACGACACATCAAACATTTATACTATATTTACTATTTGTAGCTATACTTTCAATAAATTTATTATCCATAGTTATTTTTGAATTTTATAGCAAATTCATGAAATAAAAGATTAATTGTTTTGAACTGAAACAAGCTCTCAACAAGCTCTTAATATGAACATTTTATTTTTCTAAATTCTGTATTTCGTCTTAGTTGTATTCGTTGAGCGAACAAATACAGTTGATACATGTTGTATTTTTTATATACACCCCTGTATACAGTCGATACAAGTTGTATCCTTTGTATACACCCCTGTATTTCGCCTTGGTTACAGTTGATACATATTGTATTCGTTGCACGAATGAATACAATTACGCGAACGAATACAACTGATACACATATTGTATTTGTTGCGCGTTTGAATACAATAGATACAAGTTAGTAACAATTGAATAATAGCTACGAATGGTAATTAGAAAAATTATAATTAATAGGCTCTAAACTATAGTAGTTTATGAAAATTCCTCATTACTTAGGGTGTGTTTGGTATNCACCCCCGCACAATATTTTTTTTTTTTACTTTTTGTTTTGTAATTTCAAATTTCTGTTTTTTCGTTTTTCTGCATCCCCTCTGCCCCTGCCCACCTCTCCCCCTTCCCCCCCAGAAAAAATATTTTTTTTATATATTTCCCGTTTTAGTTTTTTCATCTTTCGGTTTACATGTTCGAAATTTTACAAGTTCCAAAGTTATGAATTCAGAATTTTATGTGTTTGGAAGTTTACGCGTACCAAGAAAATATTTTCTTGTTTTCCAATAAAATATTTTTCACGGAAAATATTTTTCGTTATACCAAACACACCCTTAAACCTACCTTTTACTTTAGCAAACCTGACTGCACATCTCTTTAATTTGATATCAAAGACACGTCTTGCAGAAATGCAGGATAAAATTGTGGTTCGATTATTTATCAGAACCCGTATATAACAGGAGTTTAATACACCAGGATGAAAAAATCTTATTTAATAGTAAACGTTACGTTGTGGTACGATGTACTTTTTTTCCGGGAAAATGCTTTTCGAAAAGTTAGCCGTTTGTGGTGTTTGGTTGTTAGATGTTATTTAAGAAAAATATTTTTATCAAAAGGGAAAAATAACTTTCTTACTTATGGGAAATCACAATCATGTTTTCTAGAATTCTTTATTATCACGTCATAGCTGAAACGTTTGTTTGCATAAAGGATACTGCGTGCATCACGTGGTCGGTGACGGTGATGCGTGATTTCCGTCACCCTTAACAAATTGCCTAAAAACTTTCCCCTCTAATTTAAATGTTTCACTAATATAAACAAATGAATTTAAACTAACAACATAATGGGTTCGTACATTATTAGCATAGTTTAACTTATTGTATAAAATTATATTTATCATTTATTACTAATAAAGATTTATTTAGATAAAATTATTCTCATATTGAATTTGCCATCCTTAGTTATACTTTTAAAAAATTATCATTCATAGTTATATTTGAATTTTATAGCAAACACACCTATATTCTGTATTTCGAGGGAGAAATTTTTCGTCAAATCCTTGTATTTATATATTTTGCCTTGATTTTGTACCATGTATGTACTTTATTCAGGCAT